GATTGTCGGCGTGCTGCTCGGGATTGACCCTTATTCTTACGTACCCAGTGAGTCAAGTGGAGTGTGGACGGCACGGCACTTTATTGTTTGGGGACTGCCCAGCTTGGGCGGGCGGTAGCTGTCTAATGAAGTGCGAAGACTTCTCCCATCATTGAGAGGACTTCCTGGACACCCCGCTCCTACACCCATCCATCGGGGGGTTTTGACCAGTGAAATGCCACTCCCCGTATTTATTTACTGGAATTACCTCTCCATGGCGAGTGTGGATAGTCAAAGGAAGCCAGGGAGTGCCCAAGCAGCTGACTTTGTGAGACTGCGCTTCATCTGGCTTCTATCCGTTGACCCTTCAGGTATGATTGAATCTGTGGCTGAGGAGCCAACTCATTTAGCTTACAGGGTCATGGAGGCACGCAATCCATCACACCACGTCAAGGTGCCGTCTCGTCTTGATAGGACAACAGTCGACCGTCTACCAACTATCCTCCTATTTGTTCACTTGACATTGTGGGAAAAACCAAATGTAGCGAATTGTGTTCTGTAGTTAGTATATCACGGTTTATATAACTAGGCAAAACGAGGCTAGGGAACAGGTATAAAAAAGTACAAAATGAACGTAAAAATAGATAACCTCTTTTAATCCAAAAGCCACAGTATGGTCGGGGTGACTGTCTCGGCTTGTGACTTCACCATCCCCTCACACCTCATGAAATACTACTATATGACCCAGTGTCTCAAATAGCCTCTACTGAGAAAGCCCTACTCACTGCCTTCACGTGGCGGAGGTGTTTTCCCAACACCGTGACAGGACGAAAAGCCAAAATCCGGGGCTATAATCGGATTGATAGAACATTGTCACTTCACCTAGGAGAGTTGGCTAAAAACCCTGATTCCAAACCAACCAAGATTTTTGGTTCATATGTTATTGCATATTTGCCAGTTCTCTGTAATTGGTTACATGTTGAACTAATAATAATAATAATCCCGGTTTGATGTTCAGACCGTAAAATATGACAAAAAAGATGTCTCAATTGGATGGATGGACTCAAAAGTATTATTTATATGGGAATTCTCATCGCTTCAACTGAGTTTTTTGCTCACGGGTCTAATGGAGAGTGTGATCACGTAAGGGTCTATGGCGAGCTGTGTAAGTCGTTCGTAACTAGCAGCGCTGTCCGTCAAGATTGCCCTCTTTCGCCATTCCTGTTCAATTTCCTCATAGATGAAATACTACAGAATGCACTAAGTGGAGGATGCACGGAGAGCACTTAACAGCTTAGCAAGTTCTGTCGCTCCGTTCGGCACGTGCTTTGTACCTTCAAAGTGCAAAGCAATGCTACAAGACTGGATGTCGCCGAGCTCTTTTCTGAAACTAGACGGTCAGGAATTAGTTGAAGTTGACTGTTCTTCGTACTTAGGAAGCTGCGCGACCAACGACGGTAGCGCATCAAAGGTGGTAACCGTCCGCATTTCCAAGGCTCGAACAGCGTAGGCAGGATTTAAACACCTATGGCGGAGATGTGTTGTTTCACTGAAGTTGAAAAGTCGCGTATACTGCGCCTCCGTATGATCAGTTCTGCTTTACGGTTGTGAGACCTTGAATTTGCGTGTAGAAGACATACGTCGCCCAGTGGTTTTCGGTAATCGGTGCTTACTTAGTCTGACCCAACTGGGGTGGAGTGAGCGGGTTAGTAATTTGGAAGAATATCGTCGGGTGTCTGGGAATGCATCGAACAAGAACTCGCTATCTCATCGAATCCATGTCAATAGGCTCCGTTTGTTAGAGGTGTTTTGCGTATGTCCGACGGACGCTCACCGCAGCGCGCATTATTCGCAGTGACTGTTGTACGCTGGAGAAAGCCACGTGGAGGCCAGCAGATGACATGGAGACCAAACATGAAGAAATTCACAGAGCCGTTAAATAGAGTAGGTGTCTCTCATCTTCCGGGTCGGGGTCCAAAAGACTCCGTAACCCTATAGTTGGAGACACTAAAAGTCATAGCTGCGAACCGACAGCAATGGCAATCTTGTTGTCACTTCTTATCAGACCAGAATGCTTGCGAACGTGTGTATTCATAGTTGATCACGACGAGACTGCACCTTGACATGGTGTGGTGGCTTGCTTGCCTCAATGACCCTGCGAACTACACAGGATGGCTTCTCAGCCGTAGATCCAATCATACCTGGAAGGTCAAAGGGTAAAGGCCAGACAAAGCTCAGTCTCACAAGGCCAGCTACTTGGGCACCTCCTGGTCTCCTTCCTTCTATCCACAACTGCCCTTGGAGAGGCCACTCCAGCAAATAAACACGGTGTGTGGCAGTTTACCGTCCAAAATCCCCTCACTAAATGAACGTAGAAACGGGGTACCTGGGGCTTCCTCTCGACGGTGGGAGAAGTCTTCGCACTTCATTGGACAGCTACCGCCCGCCCAAGCTGGGCAGCCCCCAGCCAATAAGATGCTGTCCCGTCCACGTTCCGCTTGTCTCATTGGGTGCATGAGGCTGAGGGCAGGTCCCGAACAGCCGACAGATAATCAACGCACCAGCGAACAACACAAATAATCGAAACCAGAAGGCCTTGCGTGACAGGTCTCTCGAAGCTTCCACACGGGTGGTTCGTTCACGCTCCCGCATTGGGTTTATGCCCCACTGCCGTGTTCGTCAGACTCCGGTTAGGGTTCCCAAAGAAACACCCCTTCGTCGGTGTGGGCTACCGCGAAGTTTGGAAAACCATCTTTCCCATATGTCTAGTTCTTCTCAACCCGGAATTATCACAAATGCCTCCTGTTTGTGCCACCCATCGAATATCACAGCGTTTTACCATCAAGACCAGACAGTCAGAAGCTCTAGGATTTTTAAAACCAGAATCCCCTTTTCGCTTAACCGCGTTCAATGTCCGCCCGTTCTATCAGATTGGTCAACAAGCTGCCCTGGCTAGAACCCTCGAAACTTTCAATGTCGACGTATGTTGTGCCTCCGAAACACGCATACAAGACCCACTTCCAAGTGCCCGGTCAACGGACATCGCGATAGGCGCTAGAGACTTCAATTCTCAAGTGGGATCCCTGGACGAATCAGAGAAACTTCTTGGTGGACCACATGCAATCCCAGCCAATCGGACGGACCACGGATTGTTTCTGTCAAACACGAATTTCTCGCACAAGAAACGACACCGCCTCACATGGAAACCACCAATCTCTTTACTGCGCTGGACCCATATCGACCACATCGCCATCAGTCACTGCTTGAGAAGGTCAATTCAAAACTGCCGTTCTTTCTGTTCCACACCTGTGGATACGGATCACGCTTTGCTACGAGCCAAATTCTCCTTACGCCTGGCAAACAACCGCAAGAATGCCACCGACAACGGATACCGACGATACAACTTTAGCAATTGCTGCACATCGGCCTTCGAAGCGGAACTCACCAGCCGAAGGATTTGATGAACACTGAAAGCAAATCAAGGAAGCTATGTAGATATCGATAAAAACAACGTCGGACCCTGTCGCAAGCTCAAAACACAAACGATGGATNGATGGATCTGGTGGACCTCGGCTGCCCTGCTGGACGCCCACAGAACCCTCCCTCCGGATGCCACGTATGACACAGTGCTCAAATCCCTCAAACGCCAGCTCATCAAGAGTCTGAGGAATGATCGCGAGAAGTGATGGGTAAGAAAGTGTAGAGAGATGGAGAAAGCTGCGGCTATTGATAATAGTCGTAACCTTTTCCATCTAATTAGGAATACAGGTCCTAGGAAAATAGGCGTAAGTGAGGTAATTAAGAAATTCAATGGCACACTGATTCACGATCAGCAACGCCGTCTTGACCGTTAGGTTGAGCACTTCGAGGCTCAGTTCAACTGGCCCCCATCGACATCTGAGCTATCACCCTCCACCACGACTGCGCAAATTCTGCCAGTCGATGTCAGTCCTCCATCTGAAATGGAGGTATCCCGGGTAATAAGCTATCTCAAAAGGCATAAGACCTCGGACCCAGACGGGCTCTCTCCATCCGTTTTTAAGGATGGAGGTTTAGCATAGGTTTCGGAGTTAACGAAACTCGTGGGCTCAGTGTGGGAGAGGGAATAAGTTCCAGCTGAATGATGTGAATCGGTCATCATACCGATTTACAAGAAAGGTAATAGATCCTCCTGTGAAAACCACAGAGGAATTAGTTTAATCAACATCGCTTCTAAAGTTCTCGCTGGTATCATACTCCGTCGATTGTCTGCCGCACGTGAACGGTGCACGCGTAAGAATCAGGCTGGCTTTAGACCCGGTCGAGGTTGTATCGACCACATCTTCACTTTTGAGTGCTGGTGTAACCGGTTCGGTTTGCGTTTCGCACCTTCAAAGTGCAGAATGTTGCTTCAAGACTGGGTTGGTCCTGTACTCAGCCTCACCCCAACTGGGGTAGTAATATAACAAGTGGATAATTTTTGTTATTGAGGCAGCTACATCTCACCCGGTGTAAGCATCACGTATGAAGTGGCAGCTCGCTTACGGACGACTAGGTTGGCATTTGCCAACTTGAGACATCTGCGGCGTCGTCGCGACATCCGGCTGTCTGAGAAGGGTCGAGTGTATGCCGCGACAGTTCGACCAGTTCTGGTATACGGCGCAAAAACTTGACCATTAAGAAAACAGGATAAAGATAGACTGCCGGTGTTCGAACACCGCTGTCTACGCAGCATTGCACGAATCTGAGGTAAGGCACAGAGTTTTAGGTAAATGCGGTCGCCCACTGGAGCATGTGGTCGACCTCCATAGATTGCGTTGGTTGGGGCATGTGTTACGCATGTCACCAAATAGGTTGCCACGGAGAGCGATGTTCGCCGAGGCAAGTTGTAGGTGGAATAAAGTCAAGGGTGGTCAAGCTAAGACCTGGCACGAGGGTATGAAAACCCTAACCAGGAAACTGGGTCACATAGGTCCCGTTAGGCTCCCTGTCTGGGGACCTAGGGATGATCGTACCCGATGGTTAGAGACACTGAGTGACATGGCCGGGTGTCGTAAACAGTGGCATTCGTGCATCTTGCCAATTTCTCTGCAAAAGTAGTGCAATGAAATCCTAAATTTTCTCTCCGATCCTACTTTTAACCTTTCCTGTCCTTCTCCTTATGTTCATCAAAATGGGAGCCAAAAGTTAGCGACTAATACCGGCGCACGATAGTGCATAGTTAATGGTTGTAGAAACTGAACTGAGGTCTCTCCGAATGTGGCATCTAGTTTTTCAGTTTCCTCCCTTGTTGCCAAGGTAATATTTTCAATGCGCTTTGTTGAATACGGTCACTAGTTGATCAACGACGAAATGCAGTGTGTTATCGGAATATTTCTTGGCTTGTTTGCATCCTTTACCGGAGTGTTTGAGTGTTATTCTCTGGTATATCATTGTGGCAATACTGAAGCATCGACACCGTTGAAAACGGCAAACTTCTTCCAGCAACGAGGAACCATTCCTAGGTATACTAGCGTCTTCTATTTTTTGGAGATTTTGATGCTCTAAGCATAGAGCGGTCTTTTTTCAGTATTACATTGATCAACTTATTTCTGGATATTTGCGCCACAACTCAGTATTTATTAATACACCATTGGAGCAGATCAACAAGAGTCATTCCAAAATGGGCATAATTACCAGCGGAAACCTCAGATAAGCCTCAGAAGTAACTATGAGGTGCTTCACCTAGCAAAAGTGACCACTCTTTAGTGTACCTAACTTTAAGACAAATGATCAAACCGAGATGCGATCTCAGTAACAGACACTTTCACTCTATCAAAGTTAACGAACTACTAAGCATCCCAGGAGAAAGGTCGTCTCAGCATCGGAACGGTTGGACAAAATTGATTAATGCACGAACAGGTTGGATAGTTTTTTGGGAACAGGCTGAATTGATTTATTTGTGTATTGTGCACAATGGTAATTCGTTCATTCTTTGCGTCTTCTTCCCAAGGTCCCACTATTGGAACCGGGAGATATCATCGTTGATGGTGGCAATTCAGAATACATGGATACCGATAGGCGATGTAATTACCTGATGGAGAAGGAGATACTTTATGTTGGATCTGGTGTCAGCGGTGGGGAAGAAGGTGCACGTCATGGACCAAGCCTGATGCCCGGTGGTAATCCAAAAGCGTGGTAATTATGTGCGCCCTTCTGTTCCATTTTCTCGTTTATTTGTTTTTGTTCAGGCATATAAATTTCCATTCGAAGGTAATGTAATTCACCAGAGATCCCGTTGATACTATCCAGAAATGATTCGAAGGACACAATATTATGATAGCGCCACCCATTTATATAATCCTATGAACAAACCGTAAATATTTTCAAAAGGAGCAATTATTGTACTCTGGGGATAGATACACCAGTTGTTTCAAATGCTTTGCTTCCTACGAAGAAATGTGCAACAGAGTTAGTGCTACGGAACCACCTATTCTATGCCTGGTTTCCTTAGATGACGATGTGATGTATCGTGGCTCCAGGTTACCAGTAGTTTTAGATCCCATTTCTCATTCACCGTTTGATTTCATATCCTAGCTGCCAGGTTAAATGCAGACTATTTCTATTTCCCCCTTTATTTTGTCCAAGGCCTCGTATTCGGCCAATCTTTGAGGCCATTTCCGCAAAAGCCAAAACGGGGGAGCCTTGTTGTGGCTGGGTAAGTGGATTGTGGTGTTGCGCTGTTTTCTCCGTTTCTCCTTTCGTACGTGAACAACTTGGCTGACCTGAAAAACCCATATCTGACAGATGCGTTGTTTAATTAGCTTTTCGTCTCTCCAAAAATATGGTGCCTATTTGATGCATAATTAATCATTGATCGTATTCCGTGCCAGTTGCGTAAAAATGAAGTGAATTCAATTCAAGTGTGAACTCTCCACGAAACTTTTTCGTTGTTATCGTTAATTCCACGCTGATATAAATCATTCTGTGAACCCAAAATTAAGCAGGTATACCAAGTTTAGATCTATGGCACCATCGCGGCTTGCGGACGCAAGTAAATAGTCGAGTGTATGTTGCAATGGTTCAACCCGTTCCACTGTAAGTTGCACTGGTTTGAACATGTGCTATGCATGTCACCAGGTAGGTTGCCACGGCGAGCGATGTTTGCCGAGACAGGCCGTGAAAAAATGAAATGTCTTTCTACTTTCTTCTTCTATTTATTGAATATACAAATATACAGTCAACTTTCCGGAAGGGTCTGCGGCTACACAAAGGCTGCCTGCGAAAATACAGATAAGGTAAGGTCAAGGGTGGTCAAATGAGGACCTGGCATGAGGATATGAAAACTCTAATTAGGAGACTGAGTCACATAGGTTCCATTAGGTACCCTGGCTGGGGCCCCCGGGATCAAGGTCACCGATGGTTAGAGACATTGAGCGATATGGTTGGGTGTCGCAGTGGCGCTCATGTATCTACTCATTATTCTTGTAACATCAGTCTATACAAATTCGCTATTGTCGCTTGAATCTGCTCTCAACATTCCAATCTTTATTCCGCTGTTTTTGGACGGTGGTGGCCCGGTGGTAAAGTCATCAGTTATCACTCCGGAGGACTTGTGTTCGAATCTCACCGCCACCGCCTGAAGTTCCCCACTATGTGTGTTTTATGGCAGCCTTTTGATTGGTCGCTTCCCCCTTCCTGAAAATTGTATTTTGTATACTACTTGAAAGGAAGTAAAATGAAAATGAAAATTGAAATTATCCAAATGGGCAACCAGAAGATAGCAACCAAAACCGGCGCACGAAAGTACATGGTTAATGATTGTAAGAACTGAACTGAACTGAACTGCATGGGTCCCGTCATTATGGAGAGTAGATTGAAGTTCAGTTACCATCACCGTACGAATCGAAATGAGTAATCGGATAAGCTGTCCCGCGATGAAGTTAAAGGTATTCTATAATCATGGTCACACTTGCCCTAGTGCTCGATCTCCATAGAATGCGTCGACTCGGACATGCGCAACAGATACCCACAAGGGCCCACCCCTTTTCCCAATATGGATGGCGGTTGAAAGAAAGCCTAATATGGTCAGCATTTGGCTCTTTCTAAAAGTTTGGAAGTCCTGACCAAGGGACTTGATTGTTTGACTCTGTTTTGGGCCTCAGTTGTGAACCTTGCAACCCATCTTGTCATTTGGGACAGACACTAGACAATATGGCTGTGAAGAGTAGTGCTCGTGCAGTTACTCACGATTTGCGAATGCTCAATTTAGCAACATTCCGTGTTCCCTGTCGTGCCCTTGCTCTCAGATTTTCACTCATTTAAATACTTTGTTCGTTGGTTAACCAAATAGGTTGTAAAAAAGTTATAACCAGAGTGTGTGAGGTTTGTGGGTTCATAAACTGGAAAACAACCTACGTCTCGTTCATATAAACTGAGTAGGTACCAAGTGCTTATGTGTCAGGCTACCCCACCCTCTTTTCGCCGCACCAACTTGGCTTGCGCAACTTGTCACTGGTATTGATGCACTTCAGTCTATTTGTCCATATTGAACGGATGAACTGAATCTCTCTCTCTGTCACACACTGCGATCCGTCTCTGTTTGGTTCGGTCTCAATTACAACTGACTATGAGTGCCATAAACTCGTTTGTGGCAATCGATTCGGGAGCGTTGGCATCATCATCATGATTGCACGTCCATGTGTGCATAGCCACGACGGGTGGGCATTCCGGTCTTCTGACTGTTTTGTGCGTGTGTGTTAAACCGAACAATATGGCTATTAGAAACCGGATTATCACAGATCACGTGCTTGCTGATAGCCGATTTCCGTTCTAATCAAAGCTGCTTGATGAATACCTGTTATAGCAACCACTTTATCGGTTGAGAAATTATCACGTCCCGCGATTGCCGGTCAGTAATTGCCGTGAACCCTTACTACTAGATGATCTAACGCAGTCCAGTTGCAATTGACAGACTAGTTACCGGAGCGATTCACTTCTTTCTACGGTTATCCTTCGCTAATAAGCAACGGAATGTGACAACGTTGGTGAACAGTTCATGGCCAACCGTTTGTAGGTGGTGCCACACAATGGCATTAGTGCAACTTGTAACGGAATGTGCGATCAGCTGTAACAACAGTACGGAAGAAACGGGCAGGATGGTGCAATAGGAGGTGAAAGCAACGTAATTGGCAATGGAACACGTGCATAACAAAAAGTGAATAAAAGGCTTACAGAGCTCAGCGAGCGGTGTTGCACGATGCAGCGTCTGAAGTTTGGAATACAGAATATCAAATTGGGGCAGAGAGCTTCAAGCGGTTGGTAATCCATGGGATGCTACGGGTGTAAAAACCTCAAGCGCGATCGTGTTCGAGTGAAACAAAGCGTTTTTTATTTCTAGTATNTCTAGTATGGAGTGACAATGACAAATAGACACGTTAATTTCAAAGTGGTAAGCATTGAAAATCAAAAGAGTTCTCAGTCTGCATGAAATAACTCGTCGTTTGAATGTATCAACCAATTCCTGAATTTTTTAAAATCGATAGGGATAAAATCAGCACGTCGCTCAAATGATATTTGCCAAAGTTAATTACTAACTGTCATTCTTTGAGGTAGCCACTTGAAAATTCAATTGTTTTCATTTGCAGGGGTTTCCGAAAGCATGCTGGGTTTTTATACCAACAAAACATAATCGTCTTTTCCCGATAATAATTTGAAAAAAATGAGCGAACGTCTTAAAATTACCTAATTTACTGCATCTATACTCAAGAAAGTTACATGGTTTATGAACATGAAAAAACTGCGTTAATATAGTCACGGATGTTTTGAGAATATTGTCAGCCTAAGGCAACTAAGTAATTCTTTCTGTTCTTGCAAGCGGAGTTTCCAATGATTGATCGCTATCGGCTCATCGAGCTCATGCATTCGAGCATCATCAACCCCGTAGTTGATACGGGAAGCCTTTTTTATCCACGCCGTACTATTTCATCAGCAAGGGTCTGACAGTATTCAAATTTTGTGTGTATGACAATCAATTTCAGGTGGCATCATAGAAATGGGCTTAGCACCTCTAGTTAAGTTCAATTTTGAATAACCTCAGTGATCCGGTTACGTTCGGCCGATTTTCATATCACCGCATCCATAATAAAATTGGTAGGTTATGTTAATCCTAACTTAACTGGAGTGGTGAACCTGCATCTAGTCGTTTCGATCAGTTTGAGTTATGGTTTCTAGATACTGCAAACTTCAGGATATTTTCAAGCAGTCGAATTACGTCCTCACTCCTTGACCTTTTATTTTCTCAACATTTAATACTTGATAGAAAAAACAATGAACTGGAAATTTCAGAATTTTGTAGCTATTCCATCTACCATAAATAGTGTTTTTTTTAATTACGCCCACTGTGAATTCTTGCATAGTGGAATAAATAATTCCCAAGGTCACAAGTACTTACTGTGTAGTGAACATAGTACCGTATGACCTTGAACTTAAATCATAATTCTAACAGGATGAATGTTTTGCTAAAGTGGACAGATGTGAAGCTGACGATGGCCCAAGATGTTCAAGGCCTTGCAGTTGGACTCTTCATTAATGACAGCTGAAGTCGCTTTGATTGGGTTTGATATTTCAGGATAAATTGATCGGATTTCAGTAAATTGAGGAACTAATAGAGAGGGAGAGAGTTTGCTGTGATCATATAGATCTTCCTTGCTCGCTGGCAGTGTTTCCTCAGGTCCCTTAAACAACGAAACAGGTAAGCAGTTTGTGTTGTACCACTGAGCTGTTCAAATCGAGGCGTGTAACACCAGTTTGCACGAAGCCTTTTTTTCTCAATTTCCCATTCTGATGAATGATTTTTTTATTCCTCGCAAAACCTTATCTGGATGAGTATACATTTTATGAAACGAAACCTCACGAGCACTGTCCTCTTGTTTCACCATTAATAGACTGGACCGGGCGGTTCCGGACATTTTGTGAAAATGGTTCATAACGGAATCGAATATGGTGACATGCAACTGATTGCCGAAGCCTATCATCTGATGCGAGATGTGGCCAAACTGTCCAATGGAGAAATGTCCCAGGTGCGTACCTCTACATCGTCTCCCTTTCGCTTTTCATCTGTCCTTCTCCTGTTTCAAAATAATGTGAAAAGCTAAAGTGAAATAAATGTGTCAGAGTTGGCTAATTTTATGATCAATTTAGAGTATCAAGCTTGGATTAGCTCATTCGATTGTTCAGAGGCACCAGGCACTCTTGATGGTCTTGGATGTGGGTTTCACTCCTTGCGAGATCGTTTATTCCCCACGAGATAATGATTTCAAATGCGTTCCCCATATTTTGGTATCGGCATCGGATACCTGGCGCCTCTGAACAATCGAATGGGCTAATCAAAGCTTCATAGTCTAAATTGATTGAGTCATTCGCACAAGGTACTAACCGTCGGCCGTGTTGCTCAGGGGTAAGGGTTTGAAGTCCCGACCCGACTGATCGCGATTCGAGTCTTGACAGGGACACAAAAAGTACGCACCGTTGACGAGTCCCAAACAGGAAACAGCTGTCCAGTGCTCCTTGTTGGTTTATGATCAATTATTCCGAAAAATGATGGGCGTGATATTTATTGAACTCCCAGTGATCGGAACATGTGTTTATTCGAGAGGCACGTAAATATACGGTCGGGTTTGAAATTGTCCACCCCGTGGTTGTTAAACGAATGCTTCCTGCATCCCAATATTTCATTGGTGATTTTTGTTGTACAGGATAGAAGAGGTGGACCGCGAAGCACCCAGCAGCCGTTTTGACCTTGTGTACGTCTCATCAGCAACGTTTGTCCGTCTATCCAACTGAGAATCAAATTCCAAACATCACAGTTAGAACGCAATCGTACTGACTATTTTAATCGGTTGGGTGGGTGAATCATGCGCTGCTGGTGAGACTCAGCAAGGTCGAAACTGCTGTACAGCGCTTCCTAGCTTTCCATTTCACGTTTGCTTTGTTCTCTTCACAACAGAGTTTCTCACTTGATCAAACTAAATCCCCCACTTCTCTCATGTGACTACTGTATTTCCATCTGACTACTTCGTTTATTTGCTGTATCAACTTCGCAATTATGTTCTCTTTCCAGCTAATCATATCGGAGTGTGGTTTGTATGTAGGTCACAGAACGATGAGTCTCCTGTTTTATTCGCTTCTTTCCTAGGTAGAGCAGCTCACTCACACCTGAGAGTAGCTACACGTGCGTTCAGAATCCCCTCGTGACATTGAACTATAGTCCATATGCAGTTTCCTTCGTAATCCAATTCACGTGATGTTCAATTGTTACTATTATCCTGTACTTTGTTGGTAGTGACACGTATCCCACTCTTACCAGTTCTCAATGATTCTTCATTGAGCAAGTACTTTCTTTTAATTTTCGGTTGAAAACCTCCAATTGGTTTTCGTGGTACGTCCACGTCTCCTGACTAGGGATGTTCCACGCTCTGTTCATGGTTTCATTCACAAACCATTCACAACTCTCATTTGGTTCCATTGCTTACTGTCGGTTGTTTGAAAATAGTGATGTTCTTTTCAGTATCAAAATTTCAAAATACAAACGCTGATAAACACTCATTCACAGTTTTGTGGTATATTTTCGGAATTGTACGCAACTCGTTTTACCTTCTACCAGAGATCCACGCTTGTTTGCCACTGTCCACGTGTACGAATTTTAAATTTAAAAGTCTACTCCAATTGTTCCTGTTTTGACAGAACAACTGAAGTAGCGAACAAGATCGTTTTCGATAACTTTATCCTCTGGGTAATACAGTGATATACATTTAGTGAACTGACACTTTGCGCCGTGACACCCTGGATCTCTACTGTCTGTCTCTACGCCTTCTTGACGCACGTTGGTCTATTTCGACCGGCAGCGAGCATA